AGCGTGGATCGCCGCAACTTCGACATAAAAAATTGTGCTGGTTTGTAGAAATTGCTGGCGATAAGCGCTCGTTTCGTAATTGCCTTGAGTGAAAGAAAGTCTGTATCACCAGGTCCGTACAATCTAGTCGAAAGCTCTACCATGAAGAAGAAGCAGATGGCAACATCACTGAATTTATTGGTGCTTCCAACAACTTGATTGGCATCGTCGAAGACAAGATGACAATTTTTGATGTAAATCCAGCGGAACAGCACAACAAGGTCTATTATGGAAAGCTGATTGATGATATGATCAAAAATGAGAATGAGATGAGCAAATTTGACACATATATTTGAAGCAGTTTGCCAACCCCAAGCCAAAATCCTTCTTCCGAACGCCTATCTATGATTCTATGACAGCTGCTAGCAATGAGGGCATTGTTAACTATGTCAATGAACTTAATGAATCGGGACTAAATGGAATTGTTCACAGTGAGTCGAAAGGCCTATATTGCGTGGAGAGAGTATTATGTATCAGCGTTATCATAGGTGGCGTGAGACAGCTGGTGAAGTCCCTGATAAGCGATCGAAATTTTGTGAGAAGATATTGAAGTTGGACAAGCGTATCACATTCAAGCGATACAAAGACAGTTGAGCCACTCCTGATGGATTCTTCTCTCCTTTTGACTTTAACCAAGGCTAAAGCTTCCCGAAGCAGCAATATGACGATTGCGACGAGGTTGAGTCATGCCAACCCCAGTTAATTGCTTCACTCCTTTACCAAAGTCGTGACTGAACTCAACAAGTTTCTGGTGCGGTGATATCAGCAACTGTATCCATTACAGAGCCTGCAATTGGCTTCCAATTATTTTTCAGAACCCCCCCAAATTGATGTTCCAGCTTCTTTCACGCCATTCCATAAATCCCCCCAAAATCCACTTCCATCGAGCCCAGATTGATGCGTACGTATAGCTTCACCGTGAGTCATATGTAAAGTCGCTCCTTTACCAGTTTCATTCGCTTTGACAAGCTTCTTGTACGTCTCGGGTCCAAAATAGTGGGTAGGACCAGCATTGAGCTGAGCATGCGTCAATCAAACAGGCTTTCCATGCAAAACCTTTAAGGTCTGCGCGTGGCTAAGGATGACACGAAACGCTTTATACATCTTAGCAGATTTCGAAGCAATCGCGTTAACTGTGATAACTTATATATAAGCACGAAAAAAATATGTCAAAGCTTAAATCCAAAACTCAGAATCTAGATGAACTAAAGCAAATAATTATTCGCGAGATCGAAATGAGCAATGACAGGCTATCCAAAGCCAAAATGAACCTGTATTTGATGCAACTACTTCGATTGTTCAAATCGGGGAAGGAGACCATGCAATGGGATCCTAAGGAATTCATTGCTCGTATTCAATATCCCAACAAACAGGACGATGCAAATTTTCAGAAAGTATATGGTGTTCAGAGCTCTGACATGATTGCTGAATTGATACGTCTTTACAAAAGCAAAGAGAGTCTTATCCTAACTTTGAATGCACTTTGCAAGATGGTGAAGAATCGATTTCCTGACGCGTTTCAATACTATAACGCAGTGAGAAAGGTACTTAACAAGCAGAATAAGGAGGAAAAATTGGATAATGAGCTTACGCCTGAAGAAGAGAAGAAATACATTAGCTACCAAGAATTGATAGCGGTTCCACAAAACGTCAAGAAGATTATCATGGATACATATGGTGAAATGTTTCTATCTAACAATGAGCTAAGCAAACTTACCAAAGCGAAACGAATTGCATATCTACGCCTTATTTTTGACTATGCCACACTATATCTCAATGTCAATTATCCTCTGCGTCTCATATGACCCTCAGTCTATCTGAAGAAAGTTGATGGTGGTAACTACCTCCAAGGAACGAAGCTCTACTTGAATGATTTTAAGAACGTTCGCCTCATGGGTGCGCAAATTATTGATCTCGATGGAATAACGATCAATCTTATTGCTAACTTTCTTCATTTCCTTTCAGGCTCTCTCGGGCAAACACCAACACATCTACTTGGCGTGTTTACAACAATAGTCAAGGCGAATATGACAGTAATAATGGATTCAGTTCAGTTATCTCAAAGCTCTTCGCAAAACACAATGGAAAGCCAATGAGCATGAACATGATCCGTCACATTGTTGAATCACATCTGATCCAATCACCAACATGTGCGAAGTTTACTAATAGAGAAAAACATGACCTTCACGTTAAGCTACTCCATAGCACGTTTGCTGCCAATACGAGCTACAACAAGATTGCAAACAGATCCACAGCATCAGAGGTTAGCGAGGAAGCTCCTGACTTCTCATATGAGCCAGCGCCTCAACCTCCATCACCTGCTAAGACGCAAACACGTTCTAAAGCACGTAGGGAACGCATATTTCATGGAGATTTCACTCCAACAGGCAGTGATAAATCACTTGAAACTGAAATCGAGAAGTAATATGAATACACCCAATATAAAAAGCAAATCACATCCAAATGACGTCCAAACGGGGTCCACATGTTATGAATTTCAATGGATTGCACGCGCGTCTACGAAGCGGAAAAACACTTGTAAATCTGAAGACTATGCTCGTCTCTCATGCGTTGGTTGATTTATGGCACCTGATTGAAGATGAGAAGAGATTCGACAAGAATATCTTCATCCTTCTCGACGAGCCTGAGCAAGACGTTATGAGAAATTGCTTGAGCGAATGTCATATCAAGTCACGAGAATTTGATCCGGCTTACAATGAGCAACTGGGTGGTGTAGAAAAACGCTTGAAAATGCTACAAGGAGCTACAGCTATTGGAGATGATAATCCAGGCATTAAAAAGGAAATGAAGCAACTGCTTGACAAGCTGTATGAGAAAGGAGTATTTTAACAAATTATTATACCCATTTCAAGCGGATGATGAAGCTCTCTTAGAGTCACGCTTGAAGGTGAGTAGCTTACTCGTATCAATGTATTTGGGCTTCTTTGCTTTTTTTGCTCCTTGGCGAGTTGGCTAACACTGACCTTCTCCAGTTGCTTCGTCAGAGTCTCAATGTTTGTGGAGCCATGGTATGTCTTAGAGGGTCCAAGCGGCTTGACAGTTCCGCAGGTGACACCATCACCGTCAATATCCAGTGGTTGTGGCATCATCTGCCTGCGAATTCTTTTACGTCGATGCATTTTCTTTACTTGTGTATGTATAAGCAAATCAAAATGTCATTTCCAGTTTTGTTGAACGTCAACAATCAAGTTGCCCAGCATCAATGCCGATATCGATTAAGCCAACCGATTGATTTCAGTCAGTTTGAATGCGCACTTGGCTCAATCTCAATGTACTACAGTTGGAAGGCTATCACTGCTCAACGCCAAAACAACTTATTCAAAATCATTTGGCCAACAGCAGCAACAACAACTACGTGCTCAATCACCTTGCCAGATGGTACATACTCAGCAAGTGATATCAACAACTACCTGCAGCATTGGAGTATTCAAAACAACTTAAATCTGGCAACAACACGACCGGTGAATACTACTACTTCATCTCGTGTGCTGAGAATCCATCCGCGTATGCGATTCAGCTCACGATGCTGCCTGTAAAGAATGTCACTGGATACACAGTAGCAAGCGGCTTCCCAACAATGTCAGCTGCATCACTGCATACACTCCTCAACTTCAGATTGATAACTCTGGATTTGGAGCTATCGTTGGGCTATCCAATGGTGTATATCCTGCTGCTCAAACTACGAGCGTTTACGCCATCAATAGCAACGTCACGCCAATGGTAGATCCAGTCGCTGCTGTAATTCTAGGGCTGTCTAATCTTTATAACCCAATTGCAAGCAACAATCAAGCTCTCCACACCTTCACAAGCGCTGGAGTAGGATTTGGCGGACTTATTACCACGTCACAAGGCCAAGGTATTGCATATTGTCCGATGCAAGGACCAATAACGAGATCACGTTAAGCTTCTATGATCAAGACATGCGTTCGTTGCAGATTTTCGATCCTAACGTGTGTATTCGTTTGCTAATGAGACAAAACCAAATATATGACTCGACGATGTGATTACCTTTCGCAGATATACTCGATGACATTGCGATAGATCTTTCTTTCGATGATGTCCATTAACATAGTGCTCATCTTCTCAGATGTTACTCGCTTGTAGAGATCAATAAATTCTTTGACTGGAATTTCACTTGGAAAGTCGCGGCAAATAATTGCAAGATCTCGTTGGGTCAAGTTACGGCCGAGAACCACACATTGGCTGTTGATGCGAATCGTCTGTGGGATACTAAAGTAGCTCTGACTAATTTAGATCATACTCCATCCTTGTTTTCGGCCTCGGATGAAGTATTGACCGATTTGAGCTTGAGTCTTCTTTGGTTCGAGTACCAAATCATCAAATATAACGAGTTTGCTTGTCTCAGAGTTATAATCGCTCATTGCTGGAGCTACTCCACTTTCAAAACTCTCGACGTTATCGATGGTATCCTTGCGATGATCGTAGAGCGTCTCATTCGTTTTCGTGCAGATGACGAGCTTTGTAAAGCATTTGCTAAGCAGAGCCATGATTTAGAGGACGGTGTTGGATTTGTCACGGCCCGATGGACTTGCTACGCAGAGCCTGAAAGGTAATTCAAAATGGTCATTCTTTGGATATATCTTGAGCTTTTTTATCTATCGTTTCATAGAAGTTAATCATATTTCTGTGATTGTATATACAAGTAATCAAAATGTATTCTCTTCCACCAACAACCAAAATTCCAGTCTTCAATAGCTCTCTCTTCCTTGGATCAAATGATTACTTGATCATCGCCACCGCTGGCAAGAGATGCCAGAAACTCGGTGGGACTGGAGTCTTCAGTTCATTGGCTGTAGCAGGTAATATCGACTGTGAAACGTTGACGATTGCAGGAGCTGCTCTTGATTTCAGTTCACTGTCAGGAGTCACAGCTGGCACAGTTACAGCATCAAAGTTATTTATGGTCGATGCGAATAAAGATATCAGCTCATTTCGTAATTTGACGGCAGTAAATCTTACTGGAACTCTACTGACGGCAGCGCATCCGAATATCACGTCGATTGGAACATTGTCATCTCTGAATGTGTCTGGAGGATTGACAGCATCTACGCTGACTGGAACGCTTAGCACAGCAGCTCAACATAATATTACATCGCTTGGAACTCTCACAACTGGATTGCAAACAACGATCAGCAACAACACAGCTTCATTTGCAAGCTATGCGCGTTGGACAAACAGTCTTACTACGCCAATGAACTGTGTGCTCGAAATGTCAAACATCGCGCCTAGATTCGGAGCAATCTCGCAACATCCTTTTCGTATCTGTTCAGGGCATGCAATTGCAATATGGATGGACGTTAGCCAGAGCGTGAGAATTGGAACCGTAGCATCATCTGGAACGTATAAGTTAGAAGTAGATGGATCTATAAACGCTACCGCAATTAACATCAATGGAGTTGCAGTTGCTTTTCGGCTGATATAAAATCTATCACCGGTTTCACTGCGGGGATAGCTTCCGCAAACAAAGCTTTGGTTGTTGACAGTAGCCTAAATACCGCTGGAATAAATTCTCTCAGCGCAACATCATTGACTGGAACTTTGCTTACTACAGCTTAACCAAACATAACGAGCGTTGGTACATATCTAGTTTGAATCTGTCGGGTTCAGGTATCACTCATACACAGAGTGCTGGAGGCAATGTTGCTTTATTTACTAACTCAGCAGCTGTAAGCACGCTCACCATCGGTATTGCAAGTGCTGGTGGCGCATGCGATATTCGATCAAGTACTGCAAGCGATCTATACCTGGATGCTAATAATACGAGAAGGCTCTCGATTAAAAGTGGAGGTAATGTCGGTATCAATACATTTTCTCCAGGTTATCAACTTGATGTGAGCGGGTCTTTTACCTCCACCAGCTTTTACATGAACGGAACACTTATCACAGCCTCGGCAACAGATTTGAATGGAGTAACGGGGTATGGAACGTATCTGAGTGGTATCACTCCGGGGTCTGTCGCAGCGAGCAAAGCTATGGTTACCAATGCAAACTCAGTGATTCAGTTCGGATCGAGCAGCGCTACCACAAACCAGATCAAATACTTTGCGAGCACGGGCGTGAGAGATAGTACTCGAGTCTATCGTGTGGATGATTCCAGTCGACTGATCATTGGTACGCAAATTGATGGATCCGCCAGCACCAATAGAGCATATCCCATTCTAAATCTAGTATATTCGATTGATCCCACTGCACAAGTAGGTGGTGTTTCAGCTACAAGCGCTGACTTATTCAATCCAACTGGAATGATAAACCACCTGTTGGTTTTAGGTCTCAGACGCATAGATTCCGCTTCAATGTTGGCAATAGTCAGCCTTACAACAGTGGATTCCCTCATACATATACTCTTGCAACTTCAGCGGATGCCTTTTGTGTAAATCCTGCTGGTTCATCCCCAACACCAGCGGCTGGATGTCTCTACCTTGTTTCCGACACTGTCAATAAGATGATTTTCAATTTGAATACGCCATACACCAGTTCATTTGGAACAGCGCCAGTTACACTGAATTCTGGCAATATCTACATAAAGACATCTAACGCATTAAAAGATGGATCGGCAAACTTCGATATGCCCATTTTCATGAAATCATCAAATGCAACGCCCATTGGTTTTGGATTGCAGCTGAGCAATGCAACAAATGCGACTTCAACCAACTCTGCATATTTTAGAACCACAACAGTAAATGATCTTGTGATGATGACTGGGAATACAAGACGACTAACGATAAGTTCTACCGGGAAAGTAGGCATAAGAACTGGTTCACCTTCTGCAACGCTGCATGTTTCAGGGACAGTATCGAACACATTCAATGTTGGTGGAAGTTTATACTCTCAAACAACATCAACTGCATCAACATTCAGTCAGCTGGGCCCAGTAACAGTTTACGTTTGTGCCATGTATAGACGAGCTAAAGAAAACATCAAATAACGTGACGAACCCTACTGTGAAGACTTCTTCAAGGCGGATGTATTACGTATAACTACACTGGATCGGAAGACACCATTCCAAGGTTTGGCTTCATTGCTCAAGACTTGAATCGCCTTGGCTACATGAATCTGTTGCCTATTACTCCAAATGAAAACTTGAAGAAAGAAAATGATGATGACATCGAAGGAGCCCAAATGAACATTGACTACAAAGATCACAGCCATCAACTTCATGATGATCAAGAAATTGAACAAGCGTATTAAAGAACTAGAAAGAAAAATGGGCCAACTTATATAGACTATGGGAGCCAAAAAATTAAAGCCAGTGCCCGAAGGTACAGCTCAACTGTGATATCCTCTGATTCACTAATGATAATCGATGAAAGGATTCTGCTGCCAGTCCAAGGTGAAAACATTTCCAGCGTGATTGAGTTAGATTTGAAACAAAAAAAGATCGAGGGGCTTCGAGGAGTGAAAGGGCGCTTGACAAATAAATTTCTTTTAACTAGCAAAGAAAAAACACCAAGAACATTCGTATTCAAAGACGAATCGCAACTTCGGGAGGATAGTTTCTCGATGTAGAGTGATATTGTGGCAGTAGAAACTTATGTGTCTAATACAACCTTCATCCACTCTTTCCATATTTTTTTTGTATGGTTCATGTTGTCCTTCGTCTGTTTTTCTGTCATTTTCGGTGCATGCGTATCAAAATAATTATTACATGTTTGTCATCTACGACCGATTTAAATTGTACTCTGATAGTATTAACCCTTTACGCTCCGTGTTCTGTATTATACAGAATATGTAATATGACAGTGGGAAGTATGATGCAAGCTTATATAACGCGAATGGCAACAGCGATTCTGCGCATATAGGAGTTTGTATTTGTGGGGATGGGGCATCTTATCATTTTGGATCAGAGACCGGGAGATAGACGGGTATTATTCCTCTGCAATAGAAAAAGGCAATATAAAATGCCCAGAGGTTTCAAAATTCTAACTTTATCCCGTCATCTTCTCGCCCACGCATTTCGTCCAGAGGTTTCAAAATTCTAACTTCATCCCATCTTCCCGCCCACCATTTCGTGAAATCGTCCAGAAATGACGAAGTGGATTGACCCAAAGGAGTTCAAGCGTTTATGGGCCTCTCTGACCAAGGCTGGATGGAAGGCAAGACCGCCGACAGGCCTGGACTCGGAGCACACCTATGTAAAACCAGGTGTGAAAGGTCGGCTTCGTAAGGACAAGGCAGGGCTGGAGTACTTTGTTGGTGCGTGTTGTCCGCCAAAAACATGACTTACTTTTTTCTAACGCTGTATGTACTAGGCACAAAAGCGTTGTGGGGTTTTGCTATGCGAGAAGGGTTGATACCTCGTCTTACCCCCTCTTTTCGGGGCCCAATAACTGTCGGACGGCCACCAATGGGAAAGCAGGCCGCGTATGCAGCTGCAAGGAAACGAATGCCCTCGCCAACCCTCTTGTCAGGCGCAGTAGAAGATGACACGGTGGCGGCGGGTACAGATCAAGGGGGCGGCGTGGAGAAACCTGTAACGACGGGTACAGATCAAGGGGTCGCCGAGGAGGAGACTGTGCCGGCGGATACAGAACAAGGGGACGCCGAGGAGGATACTGTGGCGGCGGATACCGAACAAGTTGATGCCATGCAGTTAGCGGCGCCGGTGGATACGGAACCGACTGCGGCGGCAGATACAGAGCACGGTGATGACGTCGAAGGTAGAGTGACGGCTCCTACAGAGCAAGGATGTGGCGAGGTTGCGACCAGTTGGACCGGTCTGGATGTGTTCGATTCCCCGCACTTTATCGACGCGATGAGATCTGAAAGATTTTTTGGGCCTGTTGATGCGGACGATGTGAACATAGCTGACCATAGCCTGGTGTCTCAAGAAGACGTTGAGTCGGTTACAGATCATGTCGATGCTCCTGGGGACCTATCAGAATGATACGAAAGCGAGGTGGAATCAGATGACGAGTTTGAAGACGACAGCAGCGAATTTGCACAAGATGATATTGCTATGCGCACGATGGCTGATTCTGGTTGG